AACCTTTTGAGCTCAGCGTGTCAGCATTTTAAAAAACTCTAACTTAACTCTGGTGCCGTGTCACATATAGAAATTTTTTGATATTTGCAACCATAGTAAAACAAAGATTTATATTTTTGATATTTATTTTATATATTTAAATGCCATTTAACAAAGGAAAATCAACCAAAAAAATGAGTTCGCGTGTCACCTCTGACACGCGTGTCATAGGTTCGCCATCACTGCTCTAACAAGATATAGTAATAACAAGTAACTGTACATTATGTATTCAAGTTACCAGATATCCAGGAAAAGAATATCACCCAAGAACTTTGAAACCTGTCTAGGGAAAAGCTTAGTACATTCTCAGTTGTACTCAAGATAGTGGTATCACGTAGGAACAAGTATGACTTTGTTATTATAACTGTGTGTATACTTGTTATTATAAATGTATCTATAAATATATATGTATATAGTAACTGTATATATTTATAATTTATATTACATATAAATATATGATATGATAGTGTATATATATAAATACATATTTATAAATATATCTAAATATCATATATATGTATGTATGTATATCATATATATGTATATATACAGGGTGTCCCAAAAAATATATACACACTTTGAATAATTATTAATTCCAATGCGTTAAATCTAAAAAGAAAGAAACATCAATTGAGCTATCAGCTGTAAAGCATGTATACATTTTTTGGGACATATATATATATGTGTGTGTGTGTGTGTGTGTGTGTGTGTGTAAAATTTCTGCAAGAGTAGGCCTTCCTTCCCCCAGCTGCCAGCACCAGCTTCCCTCTGGCACCCAGGACCTGGGCTTCATCCAGAAGGTCGTCCAGTCTAATTAGCATATTACACTCTTTTATTATTATAGATATGTAGAGAGAGAGAGACAGAGAGGGAGAGATTGCTTTTCATCCTACTGATGCTCTTTTTCTGGTAGAACCTTGCCTAATACATCTACACTAATAAAAGACAAACATGCAAATTGACCGTACCTTTGCTATGCCTTAAGCCACACCCACCAGCCAATCAGAGTGACTATATGCAAATTAACCCAACCAAGATGGCGGCCAGCAGTCACGGAGCTGGAGCGAGCAGGAGGCTTGGTTGCCCCAATGATGGAGGAAGCCAAGCTTTCCGCCTGCCGCGGCGGCTCTGAGCTCCACTCAAAGCAACAAAGTTTCAATTATAGAAGCTAAATAAACCCCAGATACCTGCTTTCAGCCAGTCGTGGCCATGGAGCTGGAGCGAGCAAGAGGCTTGGTTGCTCCAGTGATGGAGGAAGCCAAGCTTCCTGCGGCTGGCTGTAGCCTCTGCAAAAGGCAACAAAGTTTCAATTATAGAAGGTAAATAAATCCCAGAATAAATAAAAGAAAAAAAGGAGAGGCTGGGAGCTTCCGTCGTCAGGGGGCTTGGCCAGCCTGAAAACAGCCCTCAGCCTCTCATCCAGACTGGCCAGGCACCCCAGTGGGGACCCCCTCACCCTAAAGGGGGAGTGGCCAGCCTGAAAACAGCCATCAGCTTCTCACCCAGGCTGGCCAAACTTCCATGGGGTGAGGGTCCCCACTGGGGGTTGGGGGGGCTTGACCAACCTGCAAACAGCCATCAGCCCCTCACCCAGGCTGGCCAGACACCCCAGAGGGGACCCCCAACTGGATCGGGACACCCTTCAGGGCAAACCAGCCGGCCCCCACCCATGCACCAGGCCTCTATCCTATATAACAAAAGGGTAATATGCAAACTGACCCTAACAGCAGAACGACTGGGAATGACTGGTCACTATGACACACACTGACCACCAGGGGCAGATGCTCAATGCAGGAGCTGTCCCCTGGTGGTCAGTGTGCTCCCACAGGGGGAACTCTGCTCAGCCACAAGCCAGGCTGACGGCTGCCAGCACAGCAGTGGTGGTAGGAGCCTCTCCCGCCTCCTCAGCAGCACTAAGGATGTCCTACTGCAGCTTAGGTCTGCTCCCTGCTGGTAAGTGGACATCCCCCGAAGGCTGCCGGGCTGCCAGAGGGATGTCTGACTGCCAGCTTGGGCCTGATCCCCCAAGGAGCAGACCTAAGCCAGCAGGTGGACATCCTCCGAGGGGTCCCAGACTGCGAGAGGGCACAGGCCGGGCTGAGGGCCCCCCCCCCCCCCCCGAGTGCACAAATTTTTGTGCACCGGGCCTCTAGTACCTCAATAAAGTCGAACCAAAAAAATAAATATGGGCGACTACAGTGGTCATGTGTAGTTGGACCTTGGTCAAGTGAAAGTGAAAAGTGGCCAGGCACCCTTTCCTCTTTTTTGCTAGAAACGGGAAATGCAAGCTGCCTGTTATATAGAAGTAAAAGTGAGAGTCCTTTTCTCTTTCCTCTCTATACCCAAAACTGGGAATCAGGGAACTAAGATTTCCCCTCCGAAATCAACTAGCAGATTTGACGTGCACAGGCTGAGATCGGTGGGACTGAACCCAGACACCATCTAGAAATAACATGACTAAGAGCATGGGTACCCCTTGCTCTTCCCAAGCAAATGAACAAGCAGGGGAAGCGCTCCAAGTTCTGCCCGTTGGGAGGCTTTCCCCTCACCGTTGTCCTTCAGGGATGTCCAGCAAGAAGCTGCAGTGCCTCTCCAGTGGATCACCTTTGGGCGGTGTCTGCAGATCACGCAGAACCATCTATAAACCAGACATGAGTTTTTCTCCTCCTCGTTCAACTGGACATAAGGAATTCCTCGTGAGGTCATAGGTGTGTGGCTGGGAGTAAGAAGGCAGTGTAGCAAGCGTAGGGGCCGTGGGCATTTGGGTCACTTCCTCACATAACTTACTTGTGCTTTCAGGGCCTGCTTGGTCCTGTCTCATGTAAAGGGTGTCCCAAAATTCATGCAAGAAGTAATTTTGATAGAAAACACAGGTTTATAATTAAAAATTGTAAATTTTTTATTGATTCATAAAGTATACAGTATAGGGTTATGTATGGAATAGCATATCAGTTAAATGGCCTCCAAGGCTTTGCTGACACATACACACTCTTTTGTTATTGCCTGAGCAGCCGCATTTTCGAAGAAGAATGGTCCGATGATGCTTCTAGCCCAAAATCCACGCCAAACAGTAACACGTTGTGGATGCATTTGTTTCTCAACAATCACTCATGGATTTTCTGAACCCCAAATGCGACAATTTTGTCGATTAACAAAGCCATCAAGATGAAAATGAGCCTCATCGAAATTCAGCCATATTTATGCAAAACGGTCATGGAAAATTTCAACAAAAGAGTGCATATGTATGCATGCATATAAGCATAACCAATGGACATAAGACACTGGGGGGTAGGGGAGGCCAGGGGATTGTCAAGGGCGGGAAAAAAAGGAGACATATGTAATACTCTTTGTAATACTTTAAGCAATAAAATAAAAAAAAGAGTGCGTATGTGCCAGCAAAGCCGTGGAGGCCATTTACCTGATATGCTATTCCATACATAACCCTATACTATATGCTTTATGAATCAATAAAAAATTTACAATTTTTAATTATAAACCTGTGTTTTCTATCAAAATTACTTCTTGCGTGAATTTTGGGACACCCTTTATAACACCTCCATTCAGTGATGGCTTGGTGGGTCATAAAGAGGTGGAAGGGCTGCTTCTCCTGGCAATGAAGGGGTTCTATAACCCCAGCTTCCTTGGATCTTCCCATATGTCTCTGTCCCAATTTTCAGGATCTCTTTTTCCCTAGTCAATGCCCTCACTTTAACAGAAGATACCCTGCAAGGCTGTGGATTTGGTTTGCATTATGATTTGGCCACTGCAGGTTGAGAGGTGTTTTGGTTTTCAGAAATCTCAGTCTGCTGGCCACAGGAGATAGATTTCTTTAAGGACAGATCTAGAAGTTTTCATGTCACTCATGCAAAACTTGAGCTGACAATCTGAAGCCCTGAGCTAATCTTCTTTGCTCACTTTCTCTAGGACAATGGAGAGCCACCAGCCAATGTCATTACACATCTTAGATTGACTAAAGCATCTTAAAGTATCAAATACATGGATGGTCAACCAGAACCTTGCCTTTGTAAGTATTTGATTAAGAGCACACATTGGCAATATTTTCCCTATCTCTATTGCCACATCACAACAAGATGACAAACTTTTTATCACCCACAGAAGTTTCATCATGCCCCGTTGTATTCAAACCCTCTCTCCACCCTCAACCCAGGCAACCACGGATCTGATTTCTATTACTGCAGATTAGTTTGCATTTTTTATAACGTTCTATAAATGCAATCACCCAGTGTATCCTCTTTCTCAGTTCCTTCACTCAGCATCATTTTGAAATTCATCTGTGTTGTAGCACGTGTTAATAGTCGGTTCCTTTTAATTGCTAAGAGTATGCCACTGTATGGGTATTCCACAGTTTATGTACCCATTCACCTGATGATGGACGCCTGGACTGCTTCAAGTTTTTGCACTATTACAGATATAGCTGCTATGAATAGCAGAAATAGCTGCTATTATGAACAAAATTTTGTATGGACATTAATTTTATTTCCTTTTTAAAAAATATATGTCTTTATTGATATGAGAGAGAGGGAGGGAGAGGGACACAGAGAGAGAAACATCGATCAGCTGCCTCCTGCACACCCCCTACTGGGGACTGAACCCCCAACCCAGGCATATGCCCTGACCAGGAATTGAACCAGTGACCTCTTGGTTCATGGGTTGACGTGCAACCACTGAGCCACACCGCCTGGAGCTGGTTTTTGTATTCTTGAGTAAATACATAGGAGTGGGATGGCTGGATCACATAGGTGTGTGTTTAAATTTTGAAGATTCGGTCAAATTGTTTTCCAGAATGGTTATATCGTCTCTTCAAGTTAAAGCTGTCACCAAATAGCCCTTCATTGATCATGTGGGTCAAAATCTTTGTGTGAAAAGAAATCAGTGTTGAAATGAAATCTCAAAATGCTAGTCTGACACATATAATGAGGACTGAACCTCCTCCGGGCGTTTCTTTTTATTTTATTTTTATTTTTTGCCTTGTCCCTCCCTACTCACTCCAGTTACCACAATTTCTTCCTGGCAACTGGGAAGAAATATCTCCATGAAAGAGAGATAGTTCAAAAGCAGGAAGAATTTCTTGTTGGTCTGCCCTTACAGTGAACACACATAACTCTGTATTGCCCACCAAGATCCTCCAGAACGGTAAGAAGACAGATGGAGGGGGACATTCCACCCCAGCCTAAAGGGTCAGATACTGTTTAACACCCCAACCCCAACCCTACACCCAATCTTGGAAAACAGCTTGAACCAAGCCATCCCCAAGAAACCTGAGTCCTCGGAGTCAGGCGAGCTGGGCTGAATCCCACTCGGCCACATCACAACAAGATGCAGGATTTCATCCTAGATTGGATCTTGACTGGAAGGAAAAGGCTATGATAAAGAACACGATTGAATCAACTGACTAAGCAGGAATACCCATGAGTAGATTAGACACCAGTGTTAACATTCACACAGAATTTACTGATGTTGATAACTGCACTTTCTTGCTATTTGACTGTGGCCCAGTGACTTACCTCTGGGCAGCTCTGCAGGCTCATCCCTAAAGTTCAAATATGGATAGTGCCCTCCTTACTGAAGTGTTGCTATGAGGTCTAATCAAGTCAGTGGTTGGCAGAGAGATGGAGGCTCCCGAAAGCCATGCTTGTCTGTGCAGATCCTCCTGCTAGACAGGCAAGGATCCCAACAGACTTGGGCTTTTGAAGTTATGGAATCAGGGCCTCCAGAGGGGCTTCTGGGCCCTCTGCTCCCTCCTTCCCAGCCTGAACCCCCTTCAGAGGGCACCTAGGGATACAACTTAGGAGAAGCTCTCTTGCTCCCACTCCAAGGTCCAGATGTCTTACCTGCTACAGATTCCGCCAATGAATGAATGGACTACTTGGCCAGAGGGGGAAGTTCGGAGTATTATACTAACAATAAAGACTTCTGTAGGAAACAAATGAAAAAGCAAGGCCATTTGAGTGAATCTTTGAGAAGGTGGAGACTCTAGATCAGTGGTTCTCAACCTGTGGGTCGCGACCCCTTTGGGGGTCGAACGACCCTTTCACAGGGGTCGCCTAAGACCATCGGAAAACACATATATAATTACATACTGTTTTTGTGATTAATCACTATGCTTTAATTATGTTCAATTTGTAACAATGAAATTGGGGGTCACCACAACATGAGGAACTGTATTAAAGGGTCGCAGCATTAGGAAGGTTGAGAACCACTGCTCTAGATCATGACTTCATGCAAAAATAACCCGATTGTATTTGCAAAGAGGAACTTGGGAAGGAAACACAAGAAATTAATCAAAGTGGTTTGAAGGAGGACAGAAGAGTAAGGTTTTGCACCGTCTACTTTTTGTTTGTTTTTAGCTTTTAAACTATTGATTTGAATAGAATTTCAAACAGAGAAAGAGGCAGGACTAAGAACAGCACATACAGAACTCACACTGTTGCCACTGTCACTGACAGTTGCTAACATTTTGCCCCACAGCATTTTCCTGTGTGCTTGCAGGCATTCTCTCTCTCTCTCTCTCTCTCTCTCTCCCTCTCTCTCTCTCTCTCTCTCTCTCTCTCCCCGAATTATTTAAAAATAAATTGCATAGCCCATGGCTCTTCATCCCTAAATATTTCAGTGTGTACTTCCTGAGAATAGGGATGACATATTACATAACCACAGCGCAGTTTTCAATGTCAGTAAATTCTGTGTTGACATTAACATTTGTGTCTAATCTGGGTATTCGGCTCAGTCAGTTTATCCCATCATGTTCTTTATAACAAGTCTTTCCCTCCAGGCAAGATCCAACCTAGGGTCATATCCTGCATCTGGTTGTCATGTCTCTTTATCTCCTTTAATCTGGAATCGTTTCTCAGCCTTTCTCACAGTGACATTTTTGAGGAATAGAGCTCCCCTCTTTCTTTATATTAATTTCTGAGAGGAAGGAAGAGGGAAAGAGAGTTAGAAACATCGATGATGAGACAGAATTATCTATCCTCTGGCTCCTCCACATCCCCCACTGGGGATTGAGCCTGCAACTGGGCATGTGCCCTGACCGGGAATTGAACGGTGACCTCTGGTTCATAGGTTGGCGCTCAACCACCGAGCAACACCAGCCAGGCAAGCTCCCCCCTTTCTTAACAGAGGATTCCACATGTTGAGTTTGATGAGTTGTCATCTTTGGATTTGGGTTATGCCTCCCTGGCTAGAATAGTGATATTGTGTCCTTCTCAGGACATCACATCTGGAGGCACGTGATGTCCACCTGCACCCTCATTAATTTTGATCATTTTGTCAAGGTGTTGTCCAATTTCTCTGCTATGTAATTACTATTGTTTAATAAGTAGTCTGTGTGGAGACACTTTAAGACCATGAAAATATCCTGCTTGTCAGTAAAATTCCTCACCCTTAGACTTAGTGTCCATTGATGGCTCTTGCTTGAACCAACCAACCTTCACTGTGATGGCTGCACAGTGATTTTCCAACTCCAGCTCTGCCTCCACTTGGACCTGCTGGCCTCCAGTCCTCTCCTGTATGCAGAGCCCTCCCCTCTCACCTGTCTATTGTCTTACTTGCTTTCTTACTTACTATCAATATGGAGTTGTTTCTCAATATGTATCTTTGATTTTGATCAATGATTCACATTGACTCCTGTGACTGTATTACTGATGCAATAAGAATAATGTGCAGTGACCTGCAGTGACCTTCACAGGGTCACAAATTTCTGTAACTCTTGAAGCTATTGCCATTTCATGTCCTCCTGTAGATCTAACTCTGCCTTAGACTCTGACATTAATAGAAGGGCCCACCCTCTCCAGCCTAACACTCAAATAGGTCACACTAACTTCAAAATCCAGATTACACTGGCCCTTGCAAATACATACCCCCCATGACAGGACCTCAGCACTAGTCTTCCTGACCTCATCTCCTAAAGCCTATTCAGTGTATGATGAGGACCTGACATGGTCTCATGTGTTGTCATCAACAAGGCTGCAGTATTCTTCCTTTCCATCCCTTCATGGTATCCTTAGCCTGCACGGCTACCCAAGGCTGCCCCTTATCAGTGCCATGGTTGCATATGTTCCCTGTGAACGTACTGCTCACTGAAGCCAGGATGCTCTCCCCAAGGGCTCCCAACGCTGCAAGACCTTTGATGTGAATAAGCCCATGCCTGGTCTCATGTCCATGGGGCTGAGGCTCAAACAGAGCCATCCATATTGCTGGACTTGGTCCCATTAGATCATGAGACCGTGGAGACCTACAGTCAGAAGTTCATGTATTAATAGCAATTCATTCCTGCCAAGGACTCCACTCTGATACTGATGCCAAAGACCTCTGACGCTGTTCTCTGCCCTGGATCCTACTTTCCCACAGACGGGTCCAGACCTTAACAGTGGTAACCAGGTCGCTGTCCACACTGTGCTATACCCAGGACTGGACTTCTCCTTTTGCATGTTGAGTCGACATGAGGCTGGAACTCAGCCCCACCTCTGTGCAGCCTGACGCATGTTTTAGAACTTTCTGTTTTAAAATGTATATACTGACCCTGGAAAGGAAGAAGTAAAACCATCTCACTATGATGATGGCATGATTTTACAGAAAATCCTAGATTTATAAAAACAAAACAAACAAAAAAAATAAAAAAACACACACTATTAAAGCTAGTAAAAGATGAAGAATATAAGATCAATATATAACAATCAGTTGTATCTTTATACTCTATTAATGAACAATCTGAAAATAAAAGTAAGGAAACAATTTCATTTACAACAGCATAAAATTAAATACTTAGGAGTAAATTTAAGCAAGAATGCATAAAATCTGTATATCAAAAACCACAAAACACCATGGGAAAAAGTTAAAGAATACCTAAGTAAATGCAGTGTTTATGGATTGAAAAACTCAATATTGCTAAGATAGCAATACTCCCCAAATTGATCTACAGGTTCAATGCAATCCCTATTAAAATTTATTTTCCATTTATTGATAGTGTCCTTTGACCCACAATAGTTTTATAGTTTTAGTTCTTAACAATTGGGCCCTTAATCCATTTTGAGTTAATTTTTGTATCTCACATGAAGTAGGAGTCCAAGTTTTTCTTTTGTATCTGGTTTTCCCTGCAACATTTGCTAAAAAGGCTAATATTCTCCCACGGAGTAGTCATGGCACCCTTGTTGAAACCACTTGCAATCATACTCCATTTATCTATTTACAATCTTAAACAGAAGAATACAGCTGGAGGCCGCATACTTCCTGATTTCAGAACTTACTACAAAGTTATAGTCATCAAAACAGTGGAATGCTGGCCTAAGACAATAATGGAATATAATTAAGAGTTCAGAGATAAAACTGAAAAACTTTGGGCAGGAAACAGGTACAAATCTTTGTGACTTTGGATTAGACAATGGTTTTTTAACTATGACACCAAAGCCACAAGAAACAAAAACAACTTATAAATGTACCTTTATCAAAGTTAAAAACTTTTGTGTGTGAAAGGACACCAGCAAATAATTAAAAAGGAAACCACAGGATGGATAAAGTTATTTGCATATCACATATCTGATAAGAAACTGGTGTCCAGAAGCCATATATATAAAAGCCTAATATACAAAGTGTCCCCTTGGGAGTTTGACTACCCGTGAGTTTGATCACTCACTATGACGTGCGCTGACCAACAGGGGGTGGCATGGAATGAAGGGAGGCCCCGGCCAGCAGCCAGCAGCCACTAAAGACCATACCTGTGCACGAATTTTGTGCACTGGGCTTCTAGTATATAAATAATGCTTTTAAGAATAAAAAGCCAAATAACCCAAATTTTAGAAAGGCAAATGTTCTGAATAGATACTTCCCCCAAAAAATACCCAATAAAGTAAATTTCCAAATGACGTGGAAAGATACTCAACATTGTTATTCATTAAAGAAATATAAACATAAATCATAATGAGTCATCATTTCATACCCTATCAATTTTTTAAAGGAAGGAAACTAACAAGCGTTGGTAAAGATGTGGAGAAATTGAAACACTCATACAACATTGGTAGGAAAGTAAAATGGTGCAGCTTTGTGAAAAACAGTTTGGCAGTTCCTCAAAGAGTTAAACATAAAGCTACCATACAATCCAGAAAGTTCACAACCCAAGAGAATTAAAAATATATGTCCAAATAAAATGTGTACATGAATGTTCAGAGCACCATTATTCATAATAGCCAAAAAGTCAAACAACCCAACTGTCCATCAATTGATGAATGGATAAATGAAATGTGGTTTAACCATACAATGGAATTATGCAACCATTACTTAATCAGTTATTTAACCTTAAAAAGGAAGTACTGACATGCCACAACATGGATGAATCTTCAAAATGTGCTAAGTGAAAGAAGCCAGACACAAGAGATCACATATTGTATGATTCCATTTACATGAAATGTCCAGAATTGACAAAACCATGGAGACAGAAAGTAAATTAGTGGTTGCCAGGGGATGGAGAGAGGTGAGGAGTGGGATTGATTACTAACAAGCATGGCATTTCTTTGTGGGGGGTGGTGATGGAGATGTTCTGAAATTGGATAGTAATGATGATTGTACATTGTGAATATTCTAAAAACTTCTGAATTCCACAATTTAAAATCATAAATTTTTGCCTGGTCAGTGTTGCTCAGTGGTTGAGCATTAACCTATGAACCAGGAGGTCATGGTTCCATTCCCGGTCAGGGCACATGCCTGGGTTACAGGCTCGATCCCCAGTAGGGGGCCTGCAGGAGGCAGCCAAACAATGATTCTCTCATCACTTGTTTCTATATTTCTCTCTCTCTCACTTCCTCTCTGAAATCAATAAAAATACATTTAAAATAAATAAATAAAATAGTGAATTTTACATTACATGAATTTTATCTTAATTTCAAATAATCATAATTATTTATAACCGGTACATTAATCAAATACAATTTTTGATAAAATAGAAATACAACTGAAAAAATACATTATCCTTTATTATCCCTTCTAACTCCAAAATTACCTGAACCTACCCTTGATAGATTCCAGGTAGGAAGCCTGGTGGTGGGAGGAGGAGGGGTTAGTGAAGACTCCATCTCCCACCTTCCTCTAACCTACTTTTGGTTTCTCATGAGAAGCACCATTTCTGCCTGAGACGCGTGGAAAGAGGTGTAGATATAGGTGAGTTCCTTTTAAACTTATGTTCTCCTCTAATTTTAACAGGAATTCTTAGACTTTGGTGGCCAGCAGAACCACCTGACGAGCTGATAAATGTGCAGATTCCTGAGCCCTCCCTCCAGAGGCTGATTCCATGGGTCGGTGCATGGTGCTTGGAGTAGAACTGTCATATATAACACTTTTCTTTTCCTTATGCTAAAGACAGTAGAGGGGATTAATTGGTTATAAATTTTTTTAAAAATATATTTTATTGATTTTTTACAGAGAGGAAGGGAGAGAGATAGAGAGTCAGAAACATCGATGAGAGAGAAACATCGACCAGCTGCCTCCTGCATATCTCCCACTGGAGATGTGCCCGCAACCCAGGTACATGCCCTTGACCAGAATCGAACCTGGGACCCTTCAGTCCGCAGGCCGACGCTCTATCCACTGAGCCAAACCGGTTTCGGCGGTTATAAATTTTTATGTAAGGTGTGGTTGTTATTGGTAGTTAGATAATTTAGAACTGTGTTTCTCAATCCAAAATATATTGCGGACCAAAAAGATAAGTTTACTAGGGTTGAGGAGGCCAAGGAGATAGGGAGAGAGAGCAATGACAGGCAAAGGGGAACCAACTAGAATGTAACTCAGAGTGGTATAGGGTCTGGCAACATTCTCCTTCATATTCCTCAGGCCTTCCGGGCCCAGACTAGGAGTACCTTTCAATTTTTGAGTAAATGAATGAATAACCAACAGAAAAGTAGAGTGGTTTTTGTAGATGCCCAATATCCCCTTTATTTTTAATTTGCTGAGAGTTTATGTCATGAATGGGTATTGAGTTGTGTCAGATGCTTTTCTGCATTTATCAAAAAGGATCATGTAGTTTTGTCATTATTCTGGTTAATATGGTGAATTATATAGATTATTTTTTAAAAGAACAATTCTTTTTAAAAACGATCATTATTGATTTCAGAGAGGAAGGGAGAGGCAGTGAGAGATAGAAAAATCAATAATGAGAGAGAATCATTGATCGGCTGCCTCCTGCACGCCCCACAATGGAGATTGAGTCCACAACCCGGGCATGTGCCCTGACCTTCAGAATTGAACAGTGACCTCCTGATTCATAGCTCAACACTCAACCCTGAGCCATGGCAGTCGAGCAGATTAATTTTTCAAATACTGAACCAATCTTATATTTCATGTATAAAGACCACCTGGTTATGGTATATTATCCCTTTTAAATATATTGTTGGATTTGATTTGCTAATATTAGGTCAAGGGTTTTACTTCTATGTTCATGAGGAAGTTTGGTCTGTCATTTTGGGTGGGGGGGGTGCAATATTTTCGTCTGGTTTTGGTATCAGGATTGTGCTGGCTTCATAAAATGGTTTGGGAAGTATTCCATCTTATATTTCAGATAGTTTTTATAAGATTCATATCATTTCTTCCATAAAGTTTCACAGAATTCACTAGAAAAGTCATCTAGAGTTTTCTTTGTGGGAAAATTTTTTTATATAGTTAACTAAATTTCTATAATAAATGCAGGACATTTCAATTTGCCATATCATTTCATGTCTGTTTTAGTAAGTTGAATTTTTTAAAGTTTTTTCCTATTTCATTTAAGTTGTTGAATTTAAGATAAAATTAATATATTTCTTTGTTATTCATTTAAAATCTGTAAGATCTGTAGCAATCACCATTCTTTCATACCTGCTGTTGACAGTTTCCGTTCTCTGTTTTCAATCAATCTAGCTAGAGTTTTATTACCTTTACAAATATTTTTCAAAAACCAGATTTTGTTTTGTACATTTTCTCTCTTTTATTTTCTATTTCTTTATTTCTTTCTTTATCTTTATTATTTCCTTCCTTCTACTTACTTTGGGTTTAATTTGTTCTCTTTCCAGTTTCTGAGCCACCAATTTTAGATCATTGATTTTTAAACCTTTCTTTTTTTCTAATTAAAGCATTTAAAGCTATAAAATTTTCCTCTAAGCACTGCTTTAGTTACATTTCATGAATTTTGATATGTGCTACTTCCATTATTATTCAGTTCAAAATATTGTACAATTTGCCTTGTGATTTGTTCTTTGACTCCTAGAGTCTTTAGAAGTATGTTGTACTTCCAAGTTACTGAGGTTTTTCTAGGTATCTTATTGTTATTCGTTTCAGATATTCTCAGTGTCTAGATGGAGCCCTCAGGCATCCCAGAGTCCACCACCCCTTATGATTATGATTCGCAGAGCCTTTTGTGTGAGACTCAGACCTTCACCTTTGCGACCTTCAACACCACCATCCTGTACTGCCTGGTGTTCTTCCTCAGCCTGGTGGGCAACAGTCTGGTGTTGTGGGTCCTGGTGAAGTATGAGAGCCTGGAGTCCCTCACCAATGTCTTCATCCTCAACCTGTGCCTCTCAGACCTGGTGTTCTCCTTCCTGTTGCCTCTGTGGGCCTTGGTGTACCACTGGGGCTGGGTGCTGGGAGACTTCTTCTGCAAGCTCTCCAACATGATCTTCTCCATCAGCCTCTCCAGCAGCATCTTCTTCCTGACCATCATGACCATCCATCGCTACCTGTCTGTGGTCAGCCCCCTCTCGTCCCTGAGAGTCTACACCCTCCAATGCCGCGTGTTGATGACCACAGCTGTGTGGGCCGTCAGCATCCTGTCCTCCATCCCCGATGCCATCTTCCACAAAGTGTTTGATCCTCCAGAATATTCATCGGAACCTTCGAAATGTGATTATTCAGAACTCAAGTGGTACCTGGCCTCGGTCTACCAGCACGTTGTCTTCTTCCTGCTCTCCATGGCGATTATCCTGTTCTGCTACGTGGAGATTCTCAGGACTCTGTTTCGCTCGCGGTCCAAACGGCACCACCGGACAGTCAGGCTCATCCTCACCATTGTGCTGGCACACTTCATCAGCTGGGCTCCCTACAACCTCATCCTGTTCCTGCAAACACTGTTGAAACTTAAGATCATTCAGAGCTGCAAGATCTACTGGCAGCTGGATTATGCCTTGCTCATCTGCCGTGATTTTGCCTTCTCCCACTGCTGCTTCAACCCAGTGCTCTATGTCTTTGTCGGGGTCAAGTTCCGCAGACACCTCAAAAGTCTGCTCCGGCACTCCGGGCTCTGCCGGTCACAGGCACCCAGCCTTTCCCCGTTACCTCACTCCCCAGGTGCTTTCCACTCTGAGGGCGCCTCCTTCTATTGAAAGGGAGTTTGGCGCTGCAGGTTGAGATGGACAGAAAAGATGGAGGGGGAGCAAAGAGAAGTGGTACAAGAAAGAGCATTGCAGAAGGCACAACGCTGGGGATGCTACGGCTGCAGGGGTGGGAGATGAAAGAAATACGTTATACCAGGAGGTCCTACTGCAGAAAAGGTGCTCCCTGCCTGGAAATTTTATATTGCCATCAAGAAAAACATTTCTTAGATTCTGAGCTTATTATTCATTCCTTCATTTATTCATTCATTTAGACATGGGTTTGTTATCATTGCTTAGTTCAGAAGGTTCTAAAACATGAAAGGGTTCCCAGAAAGGAGCATCCTTCAAGACTTGATAAGGGGCTGAAACTCATGTGTGATAATTGTGCAAATGTAGGCTGCTGGCAAGACAGTCTCTCCCATTCCTGACTGTACGGTTGTCCCAGCTAATTTTAGAGAGCATTCCTCAGTGATGACTGGATGAGGACAAAAGTACCCACATCCTCAAATCTGGATTCTAAAAACCTACAACTGGACTGGAGATGTGTTCTGCATCATAATTCCAACTTCTAGCATATGTAGTCCATAGATCTTTTATTGAAAAAAAAGAATGAATTCAGTAAGTGCTGCCGTCTGCATGAAGCAAGTACTTGGAGAATATAAAGATGAACAAGGTCCCAACGTCCAGCTCTGAAGGCCCAGGCTGGCATCCATCTTGGTGAAGGCAGCCAAGGTGAAGATTCCTCCAATATCTCATTCTCTCCCGGTAGCTATTGATCTGACACTTCAGATTCATCATGTTCCACCTGGAATGTTCTCCTGCTTGGTTGACGGCACCAGCTTCCCCCCCCCCCCCCCCCCCCGGTGCTCCCCCTCCAAACCTGAGTCATTTTCAAGCCATGGATTTCCTTTTCCGCCACTCCCACGGCCAAGTTCTATTGACTCTGCCTTTCCAGGGCCTCTCAAAGTTGTTCTCCCCATTGCAGGGGCATGGATTCGTCCCCAATGGGCTCACTTTCTCGGGATCTTCCTGCTGCTCATCTCTTTCCCCACCAGCATCCTTTGCATTGAAACCAAGCTGCTCAAAACCCTTAGGCAGCTCCTATACCTACAATAAAGCCCACACACCTTAGCAAGTCCTTCAAGGCCCCTGAAATCCACTGCTAGCTAACTTGTGCATTCTATTCCATCCTAAGCCCCCATGCCACCAGCGTGGCATCCAACCACAAAAGACCCAGTTTCCTCTTGGCCTCTGCCATGCTGTCAGGATTCCAGATTACACACCCACTTGGCCAAACCAAAGCTCCATGGGTTTTGAGCCCACTCTTCTTAGAAGGCAGGCTTAAGGGGTCTTGTATCACCAGAGAGCATGGCCTTTGAGAGGCTTGATCCACTGTCTCCTTACCCCATCCCATTCCTTCAAATCCCAAGATGCATATCTAAGTATTTCTTTCAACACATACAGCCACATCCCTAGGAGCAGTTCATGAAATACAATCATGTCCATCTCTACATTTCTAGTGATGTTTTGGCACTCCCAATAGACTAGCTCTGAAAGTGATCTTTAACCAAGAGTCTTCTCCTAATCCAGTTCCTTGGGAATGCAAGGAAAGAGGCATAGAGACAGAAAGGTAAAAACTGGAAGGTAGAGGGACCCCCTATCAAAAAGGGAGTGTGGGTGAGGCCAGGGACTGTACTCTACATTCTCTGACCACACCCTTCATCAGCTACAACCTCCTGCTTTCTCCTCCCTCCACCCATTAAAACCACTGTTCAACCTCAACCGGACTCTTGTGAGCCTATCCCTCCCCTAATAGTTGAAATATGCTGCCCTGGTCACCGGGCTGCAGAACTGCCACACCAGAAACATATAAAATCCCCAACGATACCCAAGGAAGATCCTCTTCACAGCATTTCCACCTCCACACTCCCTCAAACAAAATCAAGAGGAGAGGAACCTTGCTGATCTCCAAACAGGAACGTGCCTCCAAGCCCAGGGCAGCCCCAGACCTCAGATGAAGTTCCAGCTAGAGTGGAACTTCCTCAACAGCACAATCTGTGTTGCATAACTAGAACCTGCCTTGGTGCCCCACAATATTTGTGGTTGGTTGAGTAAGTGGATAAGGAGACTCTCTTTTTGGTGTGTTTTTTTTTTTCTACTTCCATTTCCTCTTCTGACACTTGCTTATATTACATCCATCTTCCAGTCACTCCAGGTACCATTCACAGGCTTCCCATGGGTTCTTCTCCAGAGCCCACCAGCCCAGGCCTCACCTGGTTGTTGAATTCCTATGGCTTTCATTTGTGAAAGCTGCCTCTGGTGGGACAAAGAAACCCACACGCATGGAAACCCCAGTAGAAAAGACCCCCAAAGTAAACTGGCTGAGAAGTCTCTTGGGATTTGAGCCCTGGACTCAAACCCCAAATCCAAGCTCTTTACTCACTTACTGTGACCTTGGATCTCTCAGAGCCTCAGTGTCCTCATTTGTAAAACTGTATGTCAACAACACAAAGACAGATTCTATGCACACAGTGGAGGTGCACATGAGGTTATGTGTGTAAAGTACTTGCTTTGTAAATCATTCAGCCCAGACTAATATGAATTACTATTGTAATCATCTAATAAAAACAGAATCATTGTATCATATGCACAAATAAATCTCTACCCAAGATCATTACATAAGATTCCTAAAAGTTCTCTGCTTATGGGGGGAATTGGGTTAGGATTTGGGGTGAAAGGAGGGACACAGAAGAAGGGTTGGAGATAAAGTGTGAAACAAGTCCTGTGTGAATCAGGATGGTGGAAAATTGGCTCCATTTAGGCCTTAGGCGAAATTGTCCGAGGCCAAGTCTGTCTTGAGTGTTCCCTGGCTCAGTTTTTTGTCCCTATCTCTCCTCTGGCCTAACACCCACGTCTCTGTCTCCAAGTCCAGGGCTTTTTCGTATTCTTAATCCAACTGTGTCTGAACAAGGACCAACCAGAAGGAATGATACTGCTTTCTGCTCGGAATTTCTTTTTCACACTAAGTCTTTGGAACTCAAGTGTATTCCGCACTTATAACACATGTACAATTCAACTCAAACTAGCCACATTTCAAATTCTCAAAAGTCACACACGGACGGGGCTGCTTTCCCAAAACCGTGGTTTGTGTGTCCTCGGAGATTGAAAGGTTAACCTACAGCCAGATGCAAGGGAGAACCAGTAGGCGTTGTCAACCTCAGCTCTGCGGAGCATGCCGGGAGTTGTAGTCTGAGCCCATCTGCCGCTGGGGTCCGATGGGCGTTGTAGGCCTCGGGCTTGTGGTGCATGCCGGGAGTTGTAGTCCGCACCCGCTGGTGGCGGGCTCTGCGTATCATGGCCGTCTCCGCCGCGCACCCACAGTCTTCCGCTTGGCCCCAGAAAGTTTCGGTTCTGCCCAGCGGTGGACCCACTAGCGCGTAAGTGCCACCGGGGGGCCGGCCGGACCCTGGGGGCGCCCAGGCTGCTCTCGGCCCCGGAGCGGAAAACTTCGAGGCACCTGTTGCCCTTTCCGTTCCCACCCCTCCTGGGTGTCCCGCAGACCCTGAGCCCTTGCCCAGCGGGCCTGGGAAGTGTCCACAGCGGGTGAAACTGGCCCTAGAGCCCAGGCTGTCCCTGGTGACCAGTGAGGAAGACAGACTCCTCCCCAACGCCAGCTCCAAGACCTCCAACGGCCGAGGGGCCGCAGAGGAACGCCCCTGGTGGGGGTCTCAGAACAAGCCTGGGGTGTTTTAGGCGCAGCAGGGAGAGGTCCCCAGCTTTCTGCTCGCATGGTCCAAGGCACTGACCTGAAGGAGCCAGTTCCTGGCTCAGCGGGGCCAGGACTGCCCAGACCCTTCACTTTGCGCTGCTCCACGGATGCTCTGGTCTCTCCCCTCCTCCCGTAAGAGGTTGGTTTGTTCATCCCGAGACATCCATCCTCAGATCACGGCCCTCGGCCCCTCTACCCACTGCCCCTTGTGCCCAGACACAGGCTCTCAGGTTGGCCCCCGGCCATCCTTGCTGAAACACCTGTGGGTTTGTGGATTGGCTCTGGTGTGGCTGCTCCGCACTTGAGCAGAACCTCGGCTGGGGGACGTAGACAGGGTGCTGAATGTTGTTGTTATAAGAAATCATGTGTGGTTGACACATTAACCACGTGGCTCCCTGTGCGTGCATCTTCTGATGCCTTTTGTCACTCTTCACAGTTCCCATTGGCTGCCCTCCCCAGGGGAAAAATTAAAAAATTAGAGCACTTCGTGAAACCGCCGGCGTTGGCCACAGCCTCTCTGCCCCTCTGCGCCCGCGTCTTACCACAGCCGCTTCCTTTTCCGACAGAGAAATGGGTCAGGGGCTCCGAGGGCAGAGGATCAAGCCTTAATCTGCTCACTGCCCCCCTGCTGCCGCCGCGGGCCTTTCGGTCTCGGTCGCAAGCTTAACTTCCCTGCCATCTGCCTCGTGCGGGTGCTGGGGGCGCAGCCGGGGGAGCGCTGCCGGCTGAGGTTTCCTGCTTTGGGGGCTCCCACCTGAAGTGGGCCCAGGTTGAGTGGGCCGCCTTCTCCCCCTTCTGTGACAAGAACTGCTTATAAACGATTGAATGCCCTGTACCGGTTGTGGGCCGTTATTATCTTCACCCCGGAGAGCAGAGTTCATTGTCTCCGAGCTGGGCTGTGTGGCCTTCTTTGATTAAATGATTCCTGTTTTAGGAACCGGGTTTTCCGCTTCGGTTCGTTTTTAATTGTTTCCAGGATTTGGTTAGGAAAATAGTTCAACGCACAGACTCTTCGAAAGACTTGTATGGTGAACGCATACCCACCTGTTTGATTCTAGGATCAATATTTGACGTCGGTGATTTTTGTGCGTTGGAGTCAGTCCCTCTAGCGGCTCCTTGGATGGTCTTTGCTCCTTGTGGCTGGTTTCAGGGCACTGGTGTGGGCTTGGGAGCCACGCTGTTAGCCTGGTCCTTTGGGGGCAGGGTTGGCACCCACAGATGTTTGTGATGGGAGGAACCACTTAGAGCAGATATTGGGGAGGAAAAATTATCCTCTGCCCTTCAAGGTTCTTCTGATGGGACTAATAGTCAAATTGACAGGAGGCAAATTAGCAGGAGAAAAACAAATTAAAGGTTAATCACACGTATCCAAGGGAGAGACCCGGGGAGAACTGTGTAACTCACCAAAATGGTGGAAGCCAACACCTTCAATACCACCTGCAGCTAAAGACAAAAGTAGATGTTGGGGGTGGAGGGTCCTTTCTGGGAGGGTCCAGGGTGAGGCTGTTATGCAGATTTAAGCTCCTGCCTTCTCCAGTGCAGGCAAAAGCAGGCCTGGTCCCCTGAGGAAACACCCTTACAAATGGAGATTGCCCTTACAAATGTAAATGGCCTTTTACTAAGGGTAGCTTCTAGGTATTTGGGGCTTCTGGCACCTCTGCTGTTAAAATTAACTGGCCTGCCGTGATCTGTATCCCAGAGAGGCCCACGTGGAGCGGTAAACTGCTTAACCTCCAACCGCCAGGCCGGAGCAGCTGGTGACGTTGACCCGTGTTGGTCACCGAGGTCGTGGGCTGCTGCCACCAGAACGCACAGCCGCCCACCACTCCTGGCGGTCCTTCTCTTCCCTCTTGGCTGATGGGTTTTCTGGTGAATCCAAGGACAACTTGGGTGAGTCAAGACCAGAATGCCTTTAAACTGGAGGCAGAGGAAGGGTGTTGTCTAGCTGTGGTCTCCTGGTGAAAATCACTGCTAGGAACTCAGAGTTTGGTGCCTCATTCACAGGAGCAGCCCCAGTCGGCAGAGCAGGTAAGGCTCATGAACTGGTGTCATAACTAGGCAGAAGCCGCCTGTGAGCAGAGATGAGTGGAGACTAACTAGGCAGAAGCCGCCTGTGAGCAGAGATGAGTGGAGTTTGGCCTTGTCAACATCTGCTCACCTAGTGGCTGAATGTCATTGTCTTGCTCAAAAGATAAACAATGTTCTCTATTTGTAATCTCAGTGCCAGGTTTGTTTTGTTTTGTTTTTAAGCTCTTGATTGGCATAAGAGCCTCTGTTTGAGGAACTAAATACACGAGTAGAGTGGCTGTTGAAATGTTTCCATGGCTCTGTTTATCTCCTTGCTGTTTTTAGATGTGTCACTGTGCTGTCCCCATTTTAAGAGGTTCACCGTCAGAGCACGTGGGCTCCATGGCTTTTAGAAGATGAAGATGGCAGAGATGTGCCGAGTTGTGCAGGAGGCATGTTCCCCTCTTCCTCACATTGAAGCCACTCAGCCTGGTGGTTGTAGAGAACACCAGTGGTCCTTCCTGTTCATGCAGTTCTGGGTGGCATTAGAAAGACACCAAGCGGTTGTTTATAGCTGGGCCAGATCCTGTTTTCAGGGACCAGGGTGTGTACGTCAATGTAGTTCTGAGGACTGACTTAAGGAGAACCTGAGGTCTGGTTACAGCACTGGGGCCCTGCGGCTGGTTCAGGGACCCAGGGGCAGGTTTGACCAAACCATGGGAGGATGTAGGTAGTGCACCTTCAGCCTGAGGCAGAAAACTCTTAGGGACAAACTTGCAATTTAAAAATAAAAAAACACAACGGAAGCAGAAAAAGCACTCTAAGCAAGTCACTAGAAGGCAGAGGGGTAGGGCAAGAGAGTCCCTGTAAGAGGTCCAGGATGGACAACTGAACCAGAGGTGGTGTCCATTTAACATAGAGCTGGAAGGAATTTCCTCAAGCTGAACCTGCAGCCTTGGTCAGGGAGGTGCAGCTCTCAGTAGGAGCCTCAGCCAAAGTTAGCCACTGAGAGTATCTGTTCTTCTCTTTCCCCAACTCATGAAGGAAGGTAAAGGATCACCTCCCCACACTGTACCAAGAAAACAAATTTTAAAACCACCACACACAACGTAGGAGGAGGTCAAATAATGTCCCTAGGACAAATAGATTTGCTAAAACTGCCTGAAAATAGTTTGGTGAGCGAAACATACAATGGTTCTCACCCAATCGTGGTGTGATCTTGATTGCATTATTCATCGCATGATAGGTAACGGAAATTTCACATGACCAGTCTGATTCCAAATTCAAAGAGCATCCAGATTGGCAGTACTCGGCTACAACTGATAAAAGAGAAGACCGTTTTCTTGCCCATTGCCACAACTCCCACAATCCTAGTTCTTGCTTGCCCCTCTTATGTGCCAGCATAGCCCCACCCCCTACCCCACCTCCGTAACCATGTTGCTGCTCTTGTCACCCAAGGAGCACAACCTAACTCAGATCCATCAATTCTTCCCATACCCACCCCTGTAGTGTTCCTGTTGATGGTTCCAGATCTAAACTTCCAGGAGTGGAGGAAGCAGAGGGCCTTGGGGAAGGCTGGGTGAATGGGGAGGTGGTGGTAGTGGCTGGGTGAGGGAAAGGAGGCTTCTGGGTAAGGCTGCCTCCGGGTCAGAGCTGTGGTACACACTCTCCTGTAGACACACTTAATCCATCCAATCCCTAAATTACATAATTCCATTCATTCTCGGAGTAATAACTATAGTATTGCCACAATGATGATGATATAATGTCTGCGTTTACAACTTGACTTTTGAAATGCATTATTTTAGTCAACATAAAAGTATTTTTATGCTCAATAAAGGCAAATTGAAAAATCAGAGAAATAGTTTTTTGGGGGCAGATTTACCTATGTTACTCACCATTGCAGGATAATTATCATTATTTACATGGTGCTACATTTCTAGTATATTTCTACGCCTAAAGCACCCCCCATCCACAGGTTCCTCTTCACCCTGCTCTCCTGGGTCAGTGGGCAGGGATTGCGGCCAGATTTGTGTGTCTTCCAGGACAAGTGACCAAGAAACCTGAAATTGCTGGTGGGGAGGTGGGCAAGAGGAGGTTCAATTTGGTTTGTGGAGCAAGAGTCAGTGGTTTGGTTTGTATTCATTCATTCATTCAACAAGTAATTTATTGAGGGCCCACCAGCATAGTCAGAACTGAGCTATGTGCCTGGGAAATGATGAATAAATAATGAATAGCGATGGAGCTTACAGACAAGTGGGAAAGACCGATTAAACAAGAAAGTACTGGACGGGTACTGCAGGCGAGTCCCCATGCAGCGGGGGCTTAGAATCGTGAGCAAAGTAGAGTTTGCCAGTGGGTTCACCTGTTTTCATTACAGTGCTTCTCAGGCCTCAAGTGATCTCTTATTGTTATTGTGCCTGCAACACAATTTGGTCATGCTATCTGCTTCTCCCCCCTGGAGCATGAGTTCCTTGAAGGTCTGGGACTCCACCAGCCTGTTCACAGCTGTAGCCCTATCTCCTGGACCAGGCCTGCCTCTTAGAAGTGGTGCCCAGCAAACCCCGTTGGCTGGCAGGAGGTTTGTTAGCACATATGGGTCACCTGCTGTCTTCCTCAAGGCCATGTTTAGTGGTACAGCACATCCTGCCAGAGATTCGG